ATAGCTTATTGATGAGATGTCCACGCGTCTATGAAAAAGAAGAGCTTTAATAGTATGCCCACATGTCTCCGAGCAGGAGAGCTTGAATGACATGTCCACGCGTCCCTGAACAAAGAGCTTTGAATGATATTCCCACGCATCTCTAAGCAAAAGAGCTTTCTGATATGTCCACGCGTCTCTGAACAAAAGAGCTTTTTGATATGTCCACGCGTCTCTAAACAAAAGAGCTTTTTGATATGCCACGCGTCTTTGAATAAAAGAGCTTCTTGATAGGATGTCCATGCGTCTCTAAGCAGGAGAGCTTGAAAGATATGTCCGCGCGTCTCTGAACAAAGAACTTTGAATGACATTCCTCACTCGTCTCTGAGCAAAAGAGTGTTTTGATATGTCCACGCGTCTCTGAACAAAAGAGCTTTGATGATATGTGCATGCGTCTCTGAACAAAAGAGCTTTTTGATATGTCCATATGTCTCTGAACAAAAGAGCTTTGATGATATGTCCACGCGTCTCTGAACAAAAGAGCTTTGATACTTGAATGTTTGTTGCGATCGTTCGGTTGGCTGCGAACAGGAGCTTTGTTGAATGGTTGTATCCTATAAAATAAAAAAGATTGCCAAAAGACTTTGCTGGTACTTTTCTTAGGATTGACCTAAGGCTTGATGTTTTTTCTTAGGGTTAACCTAAGGTGATTGACTGACTTGAGGTTGACTCTATGTGAATTGACACGTGTGATTGTATTGTGATGTGCTTGATCAAAATGCGAAAATTTAAAAATTCAAAAAAATTTCCATCATTTTTGTGGAGGGTATCGACTTTCTCCCAAAAGAGAAGGACGCAAAAAAGAATCGAAGTGCTTGATGTTGCATGTTGAATGAGCTTAATCTGTTAACGTTGTCTCTCATAATATAAGGATTGTAACATCTTAGACTATCGTAGTTGACTCGATAATGAAGGTATTCAGGTAACTTAGGCGTGGAGGCTAAGTACTTCATACTTTGTGATGCAATAATGATTGATGTTGATATGACAAGGCATGTTTCAGCGTTATGTTAAGATTTCATGACAAAGGGTTCCTAAGGGAAGTATATTTGGTCATGTATCTGTGATGTGTGTGATAATGACACTAAAGTTAGGCCGTAAGGGCTAAGTGTGTGGAAAAATATATTGAAAAGAGTCAAATGGTGGTGACTCTTAGGCTGGGTAGGCTAATAATGTAAGGATCAAGCCCCAAGTCTAGCTCTAAATGAAAAGGGATGAGCATTGGAAATTCCTAGATATGATCAATTATGAATGTAAATATAAATGCATTTTTATTACGACCGCACCTCGATGTGAGGTTTCCTACGTATCCGTTAGGAATCAGGCCGAACGTAGCTTTAACCGAACCTCGCATAAGTGTGTGTATACCTCAACAAGGTCTTTTTAAGGGTTGTAACGTGGTTAGACTAAAGGTTTGAAGAAGAAGGGGATAAAGGCTCAAGACCCTCGATAAGCACCCAAGGTGTGCAACCTTGCTTTTGAATCATCACATTTTTATGCTTGAGTTTTCTTACTTTTGATCTCTTTTTTTTTTCTCTTTTTTGTTTTGATTTTGCATTTTTTGATTTTGAACCTTTTTTTGATAAGTGTGGGCAACCCCGATCATGCGGTCTATCACTTACTTGACATTCATGTTTCTCAGGCACGGTACCAAGCACTCGATAAGAAACGCAATATGAGACGTGTTCTTATCAAGATATTTTCATATCAGAGACATTGGAACACTTTCCATTTTGTACACTTTTTTTTTTTGATCTTTTGAAATCACTCAAGCTTTTTAAAAATTGCATAAGTTGCACACTATCCCATCCCAAGGTTAGGTAGATGTGGGTTGAAGAAAGAAAGGTCTATCGTTAGACAAGGCTCAAAGTGGTTTATCAAAAAAGGATTGTACATTTAAAAGGGTGAGAGGTATGGCTACAAAGGGTGTCTCCAATCCTTGTTATACCTTGTGCTTAATTTGATGATTGTTTTTTTTTTTTTTTTTTTTTAAAGGCAATGCAATGATCACATGCAAGAAATAAAATGCCCATTTTATTAAAAGGAAAAAGTAAAGAAGTCCTTCAAAATGAATCTAAGGGAAAATGAAAGGTGCATATCCTAGACTTATCGGGGAAATGATTAAAGAAATAGAAAAAGAGGTCATGAAATCTTGTCGTTGAAGTGCACCTCTTATCTTGTGCCTTATCATCACTCGGTCTTCTTGCCGACTGGAAGTATAGGAAGCTTGTTATTATCGATAAAATATTGGATGGCCTCTTTCATCTTCCAACAACTCTCAGTAGTATGACCCCTACCTTGATGGTATTTGCAGTGCGCATTGAGGTTTCAGCTAGCCGTCCTCCTTTCGACTGGTGGATCTTAAAATGGTCCAATAGGAGTTATGAGACCTTTAGCATGAAGGCGATCGAATGTTGTGTCATAACTTATACCACTAGGTGTGAAGTTTATCTTTTTCCCTTGTTTGTTCATGGCAAGGATCTTATCTAAGTTTAACGTACTAACGTTGTTTGAGTAGGTAGGTTTGGAAGAAGAAGGATTGTCGTTCTTCTTTCCTTTCCAGCCACCATTACTATTGTTACTATTCTTATTCTTCCTGTTGCTCAGAGGAACATGAAGGTGGTTTGAATCAATAAGGTCTTGAATGCGATCCTTGAGGGTAAAACACTTTTCGGTGGTGTGACCATGGCCTCTATGATACTTGCAATAAGAATTTGGATCCCAATTGGGAGATTATTTCTTAGGTGGTGGATCTTGAGTGGGGCCAACAAGATGAATGATACCTTAATCATGAAGATAGTCAAAAGCTTCATCATAAGTCATTTCTATTGGTGTGTATTCTTCAATGGTCCGTTTTTCCCGTGGCTTAGGAGCATTGAGTTCTTCATTAAATCCTTGGTGAGAATTTTGTTCGATAACCATCATCCGATTTGCTAATCCTTCTATCACATTCAAGAGCATGGCAATGACATCTTGCAGTTTTAGAATGACATCTAAGAAAATTATTTCATCCTCGCTCCTCAATCATGGCCACTTCATCAATAGAGGTTATGTAAGCTATCTCAATCATGGGCTCACCTACAAGTGTGATAAGGAGTGAAGGATCAAAGGATGTTTGATCTTCTGCGATGGCTAGAATCTAGGAAGTTTTATTGTCATCGATCAGGTCTTGAATAGCTTCTTTGAGTTTCCAACACTCCTCAGTGTCGTGACCCTTTCCTTGGTGATACTTGCAGTGTTTATTAGGATCCTACTTAGGTGGTCTGGCTTCTGGAACTGGGTATTTGATAGGTCCTATGGGCATGACTAGCCCTTTATGGTGTTGCTTTTCGAAATCTGTTTCATAACTCATACCAAGTGGAGTGAACACTCTTTTCGACCTTTGGATTCGTGGTTTATAGGTGTTCATATCATGTACTTCGTTAATGGGAGAGGAAGAAGAAGGATGGTCGTTCTTCTTTCCTCTCGCACTATTATCTTTCAGAAGGTCACCCTCAATGTCAATGCCTATATTATACACAGCCTTAAAAGTATTCAATTTGTGTTGGTATTTTAAGTGCTTTGCGTATTTTTCTTGAAGGTTCTTGATGAACATCCTTACAGACTCTTTTTCGGTAGGAACCTTAACCATATTAGCAGAAGTTTCCCTCCATTTGTTGAAGAAAGAAGTGAACCCTTCGTTTCCTTTTTGTTTTAACATCTCAAGTTGTCTGTGGTTTGTTTTGTCTTAGATGTTGCACTTATATCTATCTACGAAAGCGTTTGTCATGGAATCCCATGAAGATGTTTTCTCTTTGTCAAGGGAAAAGAACCATTGTTGACAAATGGTTTCAAGAGATAAAGAAAACAAGGAATGAAATACTTTCCTATCAATCCCCTTAATGTTGATTATGGTCTCGAATGCCGTTAAGTGGAAGTAAGGATTATCTGTTGGATGGAACTTAGGGATGTCATTGGCATTGAACTTCTGCGGAACAAGCTCCTTGTCCACTGAGACCCCTTGTGAGCTAATGCCCTGGAATATATAGTCATTGGATATTTTTCTCAAGCTTTCTTGCATGAGCTCCATTAGTTGTTGTAGACACCTAAAATGTCTCCCCAAAACCAAATCCGATGATGAACAACCTTTCACCGCCGTTATTGGTCGAGTTGAGTATAAAATCTTGGAGTGCTTAAATCCATATTTCCATTTCATAAACAACGCAATTCCTAGCCCATTTCCCCAAACCATAACTTATTTTCCTCTTTTCGTGCCTTTAAACCAAAAATAATTCATTTCGTGTCCTTTAAACACTAGTAGAAAAAGTGTTATTTGTAACTGGCAAAATTGACTTTTTGTAACTGGCATTGTTGGTTGCGAATGCCACTGTTACAACTAGTGAAAATTATTCGTAACCGACTAATGTTAGTTACAAATAATGTACAAATCGTAACTGGCTTAGCCTAACGCAGTTACAAAAAGTCTATTTTTCAAGTTAGAAAGCATACTATTCGTAACGGACATTAAGTTACACTAGTTACAATTAGGGTATTATTAGTAACTGACAAATCTTAACGCCGGTTACGAATATAATATATATATATATTTTTTTTAAGAAAAAATAGTATTAGTAACTAGCATTAAATTACGCCGGTTACTAATAGATAAATAATTTTTTTATATATAAATATTTTATTCGAATACAAGAATGGTAATATATCCTACCAAACGACCCATCGTCAAATGAGTTACAACCTGTTACAATTCACCCAACAAAACACGTACATCGAATATTTCCATATAAATAAAATTCAACCACAACATACAATACAAACACTCCAAATAATTCCACACAACTTGAATTATTCATCCACAACAATATAATGCAACAAAATTAACTATACTTTCCAAAAAAAAACAACTAAAACTTTAATTAAAAAAAAAACATTGATTTATAGTTTAGAAATGTGATAACAATAACTAATAGGTTAAATAAGAGTAGATATATAAAAAAAATGTTATATTGTTTTATTAAGATAAATGCTATTAATCATTACATCGATTAATAAGATAACTAGTCTTTCAACAAAAAATTAAGCCTAAAAAACTTAGCCCATTATTCTCGAATCTCTCTCAATTCTACATCGTTGTAGGCTGCAAGTCTTGCCAAATAATCCTGCAAATATTAAAAAAAATGTCTATAATACTTTATAAAAATAAAATGCTTAAATAATTTACAAGTTTGGTTAAGACCTACGGTGCCTGTATAACTCAAAGTCATCTTAAAATTTGTCTAAATGCAATTGTAGGGATAAAACGGAAGCCATGATACACAATAAAAAAGCTCAAACAATTCCCAAGTTTGATGCAGACCACTATGATGATGTATACTAACTCAGAGTCATCTTATGAGTGGTGTAAATGCAAATTGCAAGGAAATTAAAAAAGGAAACCTTGATATACAATTAAAAAGCATAAAGAATTTGCAAGTTTGATTCAGAGTTATTTTTTTTTTCAACAAATCTACTAAAAAATTCAAATACAAAGCACAAAGAAAATGTATTCCTCACAAAAGGAAATGTTTCAAACCCTTGAAAAAAATCCATTAATTAGATGAGTTTTACAGGTTTCTTGTTCTTCGGTGAATCATCTTCTTAAAGTACCAATTATGTGACCCAATTTTGGAAATCTAAAACACCATTACATTCCGAACGCTCCTTTAACAGAATCCAGATTAGGCACCCCATATTTGAGAATTATACAAAATAAAAATTTTGAGACAAAGACTTGGGTTATTGATTGTCCTACAATGGCTAAGTTAAGATAGCATCATACAATTACAAGGAAGTAGAAAACTAGGGAGCCAATATTTCTGAAGCACCTTTGAGACAGTATCACACATCACAAAGTTCAAAGCGGGGACCACATGCAAGTTTACAAAAGCATATGATGGGCATACCTGAATGCTACTATCTCAATGAATTCTGCATCAATCTAAGAGGCGGAATCACATTAGCAAAACATTGGATGCATCCTCTTACATAATTGGAATAAATGACATTAAGAGACCACTTACTTCTGTCTCTTCCTTCACTTCTCCGACTGCTGCACATATATCATCTCCCTACATGATAAAGAAACCTATAGAAACTTACAATATGCATAACGCAACAATAAATAAGAAGCGGAAAGTAAAAGTCTCTTAGAAATATACTTCATCCACGACTCTAGTAGGGATCTTCCAAGTACCTTAGCCTCGAAATCAGCCACTTTTCTCCTATACTACAAGCATCTATAAATAACAATTGATCAGGCTCATTCAAATTAGCATCAATGCAAAACATGACATTCGGAAAAGGCAAGCAAAAAAATAAAAAAAATAAAAATAAAAGCAAAGTTTAATCACAGAAAACAAGACTTCTAAATTATGACTTATATAAATAGCATTTGGTACTCAGCAGTTGGACATTAGAAGTTTCGAACCAGAATAATGGGACAATCAAATAGTACTCAACAGTTTGATATTAATCTCAATGAGGCCGGGAGACAACAAAGCTGTAGCAGTTTAAATGTTCTAATTTAGGCTTTATTATAATGTTCTGATTTTCAGCTCTGAAGTTCAGCTCTGATTTCAGTTCTAATTTTCAGCTCTGCTTTTAGTTTTGAACTTCAGATCTGAAATTCAGCTCTGATTTCAATTCTGAAATTCAGCTCTAATTTCAGTTTTGAATTTCAGTTCTGATTTTTAGTTCCTTTATTAACTTTTTTGGGCTTTACTTAATCAAATATACTTAATTAAATATGCTAGTATAAAATATAGTCTCTGCCTCTCTAATAATGATTTAGAATATCGACCCATGTGTGAATTCTTGAACATTATTCGTACATGTAAAATCAATGACATAAAATGATGTAATTAAAGAAAATTTCAAGGAGTCAAATATGTCATAACATGCTCATTATGATGATTAATATGTCAAATATGTACCCATGCCCGTGACAGACAATATTAATCAAGTCTAACATTGTGCTAAAAGAGGTTTCATGGACTACTCTTAATTTTATTAAAAATATGTAACACTCTTAAGATAAGGCTATTTTCCCAAATATTCTCATCATATTATCACTTTTTCACCATTTAATGAGTATTTAATTATGGAAGCAGTAAAAGACATGCATCTCGGCCAAATTATAATATGAATTCCTTGTTTTAGGAACATTAGGATTCTTGAAAAGGTGACTATAGCAGAGTAACCTTACAAGATTTTTATATAGAAAATTAAGTACATAAGCAAGTACATACAACAATTATAAGAATTAAAGTAACAGCTAATTCTACACATATTATAAGTACATAGAACATAGCTGTGCTAAGTTCCTACATGTTTAAGTGAACAATGTAAGAGCACAAACACCTCCACTTCTTTCAGAATCGCTATGCATAATTAAGTGAACAATGTAAGGGCACAAAAAAAAAGCTCTCCTTCAAACTAATGAAATGGGGAAAGGGAAGCCACCCAATCATTTTTTTTGTTCCACCCACAATAAAACCAACATATATGACACATCCCTGAGCAAGGTACCAGATCAAAACAACTACAGAGTACTATACTCCTGTTAATGAAAATGTGACACACCTTTCTTCTATGAGAAAACCTTATCAAACTTCAAAATAACAGTCTTTTGAAAGTATTTAAAATGAGAATTTTACATTATAATCCAACAACCACTTTAACAAGTTAATGGTCAAGGTCAGCAAGCAATGATATCCTATTATTTAGAAACAAAGGAACTATAAAGTAGACTATATAAGTCAACATAGGCAGGTTTATAATCCGTATTTTTTTTTTACAACCAAGTTCTCCATGACTAAAATCATTATTACACAAGGAATTGGGACCATAAACAAGTTACAACCATGGTGAAAGCAAAGTTACTTATGTATTCTCTTCTCAGCTTTTCATTTAATTTTTGGGTGAAGGATGAAGAAGACATAAATAATGGGCAAAGATGTAAATGTCAAGAGTAAACTTGTACTGAGCACGACAAACAAGCTTATGTTGCACTTTGATCGCTTCGACTTTGTTAGCATACCAACTATTGACATATTTCCTAAGGAGATGCATTTTGAGAATGGAAGCTTACAAGTCTTGATATTAAATCCACCTTTTTAATAAAGAAAAGTAGATGGGGGCAACATGAGCATTTATGAGTTGTGACAATATAATTGATAGGAATGAATCAAAGGCATGTCATATTCAATTATTCATCATCAATAACTAATGCAAAGAGTAAAAGATGTATCAAGGACATTGTTAGTAAGATGACAAACATCCTATATCATATTATATCAACCTTAGCTTGCATCAATTATCTCCAAGACATCGAAATTCTAGACATCAAGCTAACATATTAAATCAACTTTTCATCATTAAATTCTAGACAATTCAAAGTTCAAGACATCCAGAAGATATATTATATCAACCCAACATCATTTATTTACTAGACAAATCAAAATTTAAGACACCTAGAAAAAAAAAATGAATCAACTTTGCAAATCATATTCCCTACACTTCATAATTATGCATACCACATAATGTACGAGACTAATATCTCAACCTTAGCAAAGGTATAAGAGAATATCAATCACGGATTTTTATCCGGAAATTTTAAAATAATATACGAGACTAATATCTCCAGACACCAGGCTAATAAGCAAAAAGTCATATTTACAAGCAAATCCACAAAGACTAAGACCAACAAAGCTCACACACAAATACATGTCATTAAAAAAGAGCACATATTACAATGATGCAAGTCCACCGTCCATTGCAAGATAATCTGATTGAATTAACTCTATTCACATTATCACATTACAAATACCCTAATTTAAAGAAAACTACAAAAATTGATGAAAAAAAATCACATTCTAGTACAAATAATAAAAAAAAAAATTCAAGCCATGAGCACACTTAATCCATTTATGTATACAATTAAATCATAATTAAGCAAGAAAATAAACTAAGAATGATTAATCTGTCATCATTTTACCAGTTTTAGTCGGTTGTTTCGGATTATCGAAAAACCTCAAAGTTTTTCCCAGTAAGTTGCAATAAATTGATTAATTTTTGCAACAAAAAATAGAATTCAAACGGTGATTCAGAAGCTTAGAAAGAGAGTTACGGAGGAGAGAGAAAGAGATTACCAAAAATAGTAGAGGAAGAAAGAGAAATCGTTAATCAATGAAAATCCCCAAAATTACCGACGCATAAACCACAATTTTACAGTAAAAGTTGCAAATGTAATCTAAACACCGAAAAATTACTATCAATAAAGAACCAAAATTTGTTCTATGCTCCATCAACCTATTTTGAAAAGAAAAAAAAAAACTTCATAAACAACCCTAAGAATCCGAAAAAATTACAATCAGTTAAAATCGAAAAATAGAAAAACCCTAGATTGTGAAATTGATATTTGACTATTAAAACATCTTTACCTCAGAAATTTGTTTCAAGATAAATAGAAATCAGAAATCGCTTCAATGGAGATGAAGGAAACTTGTTGTTGCATGACAAACCATTAGCAAAGAGTTGATGGGAAAAAGGAATGGACGAGAAAAGGAAGAGAAATTGTTATTTGGAAAAGGAAGATCGAGAAATTATTTTTTTAAAAAATAAATAAATTGTTTCCACTAACTTCATATTTGTAACTGATGTTTGTATGTTAGTTACAAACTTTTTGGTCAAAGTGTCTTTGACTTATTATTTGTAACTGGCGTTTGTAAGCTAGTTACAAACGTTTTGGTCAAAGTTTCTTTGTCTTAATATTTGTAACTGGTATTTACTTAGCCAGTTACTAATAAAACTTCAAACAATGATAAACCACATATTCGTAACTGACATTTACTACGCCGGTTACTAATGTCAGGAAATTTGTAACTGGCATTATCTTAGTCGGTTACTATTAATGCTTTCATAACTAGCATAACATACGTCAGTTACTAATAGTGTTGGGGTTTAGTGAGTCCGACTCACCGCGGAAACAAACCCCTACCCAAGGAACCACTCGCAATAATTAAAATCATAAAGCATAAATAAATAATCACAAAGAAAAGATTACGAATCTTACCCTCGAAGCGAGCTTCGCCCAAAAACCGGGGCTCTTACTTGAAAGCTACGAGCACGTCAAGCGCCGCGCTTCCGACGATATCCACCCACAAAAAGGCGAACACAACTTTAAGGTCTACTACCTGGGGGTTAGCGAGGTCCGACCAAAACCCGAGTGTTATATGAGTTTAAGAGTTTTCCCAAAATTATGGAATACTCTTTTTAACTCCCACTCAAGCAAAGAATTCTCAAGCCATTCCATGACTATTTATAAGGAAGTATGCTTTGTGAATTTCACTCATCTTTCAATGTGGGACTTTTCACAAAAAGATCCCACATGAAAAGATTGGTGAATTCAACCCTTAGTTAAATAAACAAAGGAACAAGTAACAAGTGTCACATGGTTAGGTGTGGACCACTTTCTCACTTGGTCCCCAAGGCATTTCACATGCAATGTGAACTAACCATGTGTCACCCAACCTTGAGCCCCAAATTGGGTTCGGTTGGCCCATTTTATTTTGGCCCGTGTCCATGACCCATCAACCCGGGTCCACAGTCATTGCCACATGTGTCACCACCGTGGCGCGCCGCCATCATGGCGCTACCACGTGGCACGCTGTCACTTGGTGGCTGCCACTAGGTGGCTGCCAATGTGGCGGCTGCCAACGTGGCGGCTGCCAACGTGGCGGCTGCCAACGTGGCGGCCACGTGTGCTGCCACATGGCGTTTTTCCATGTGTGCTGCCACGTGGCATGCTGCTATTGGGCACGCATTCCTAGCCTTTTGCGTGGCTAGGACTTTACTTGTTACTTGATGCATTTTCCCGTCTCGCCAAATCCTAAATTTTGGCTCGACATTTGAGATTCTCCGACGCTCGGTTTCGACGCTCCAAGCTCGAATTTCCGACGTCTAAATGTTTAACACTCGGGCGACGAATTAATTTCTTCCGAATTAATTCGTCGAGTTGGTTCGTATATTTTGCTTGGGTGTGACCCGAAGGGTTCAGTCAAGATTAAGCTGTAATATTAATTATATTAATATTACTGATCGGAAGCGGCCTCCACCCAGGCATTCCGATCACTTGACCTTACTGAATATATTAGCTTTCTAATAATTCTGAACCCGCTATCAGAATAATACACTTGTTCGAAGGACACCATTCCTTTCAATCTCCCACTTGTCCTTCCGGGCAAGTGTGCATTTAGTGTATAGCCCTTATCCTATGTCTCTTCATGAACTACAGAGTAAGATTACTAGTCATCTCTGTTACGTCCAGAAGTGTTTCTCGAAATCCGAGTTTGACTGTTAATAAGCAGATGATTTCTAAAATCCATCTGAGCACGGCCATGCATTTTTCACAGTCTCGCTCTTCGAGAGGCCTTGTAAACAACAAGACATGTTCCCTATTGTTAGTAGGGGGACATTTTCAATCTTGTAATGTAGCTTCTCTTACTAAGAGGACTCACCTGCCCAATATCTGTCTTTATAATCCCCATTTACGGCAGACGTTTGGCGGATACCAAAGCGGACCAGTACTCAAACAAGAGATCTCCCACTACTCATGGTCAAAGGAAAAGAGTTCCGATAGTAATAATGAGAAAATACTTATGACGATTTTTAAATCTCTTAAAGTATCCTCATAGGTTGATCCAGTATGGTTCTAAACCAATACTTGTGCAAATGATTTATATCCTCATAGCACAAGAAACGGTGCTATAAATCATACTACACACTAATCTCTGATGGTCATCAATCGTCCACAAAATATGACCTTGATTAGGGATAATTTTCGATTAAAATATTCAATGTTCACTTAATAGGTGTTTCTTTATCCAAGCCATTGACTTGATATCCTATTTTGAATATTTATTAAAATCGAATGGATTCATTATTTAATTCTAAACCACAATTAAATAGTTTTGTGAAATATTTAGAAATATTTTATTCCACTATGAAACTTCACAATGTTTCATCTTATGATAAATGGTTTTTCCCAAATGTTTAAAGAGTAATACTCTTCATAAAACATTCATAGAAATCACACCCATATTTGATATGCTTGATTTCTTTCATGCAATTATGAATGTTGTCGTTCACTTATTGCATAGGTTTAGTTATAATTACTTTGCAAACCTTAGCATCTTCATTATCCACCATTTCCATAATAAGATGATAAAATTTTGAGAGTGTTAATGGATTACATGTGATTCAGGATTTATTGTCCAAGCAATGGCTCCCACTCATTTTCATGATTTGAGACCTTCTACTTGACAACCTACAATCATTAATGTTCAACAACGAACCTTTCCATTTAACATCTATCTTATTATTGCCTTTAAGGCAACAATATTCTCAACATATATTTTAGTAGACTCCCCGATGATGCCTTGCTTGGGTTTTACTCCAAGCGACTCACAACGATTTGGGATACCCTAATCACTTGTGATCATGGAAATTTTCCTTAAATTCCCGCACATTATACATGGATGCACATCCATGTTACCATTCTCAAGGCACGACACTTCTTGCCTCGTGCTTATAAATGGGTTCCTTGCTAAGGATCTAATCCTTGTTAAGGTTTGTGCTTGCAACATCAAAACTCAAATTATATTTGTTTCCATGCGTCAAGAACTCATCCAACTACTTATCTAAGTTCTTTGGATGTTCTTGACTATAATCTAATGATCTAATACTTAGATTAATGTCGATTGGTATTATATACGTACTTCACATGCTCTAAGCATGTAATTCATCTGACGATTCCATATCATAGCCTTACATGATGGATTTAATTCTAGAATGATTCTCAATTTTATTCCATCCATGTGACATTTAGCTCATACAGTTACACTGAGTCTTGCCAAATTGTTCGCTGTATGATATGATTGAAAGTCTCTTACTAAAGTCTTTCTTATTTGATTTAGTACTTAGCCTAGCTTATACTTAGTTCAAACATTTACTTAGCTTCATACATATGGGTCGAAAGCCTTTCAAAGTCTTTCATGTTTAACATGGTAATTTCTTTTACTCATTTAAACATTTAATGAAGTCTATACCATAGAACTTAATTCCCAACATGTACTAAGTATCGTCTTTAGCTCAGTCCATGGTCGAAAATACTTTCAAATCTAAACATTTAGCATTTGATGGTTGTTTCACAATAGAGTTCGTAAACTTCTTGTTGGACCATTACTTTTGCTCCCACTAAACTTCTTGTTCATCAGAATTTTTTATGTTTCTCCATAAGTCAATCCTCTTATTAACTTTATGAGAAAACACGTTCCAATTCCTTCATGCAATGCTTCCTTTAATCCCATGACGGATTCCATATGCTTGCTTTCAAATCTAGCATTATTTAGATTTTCAAAACCCTTCGACTATTCCATAGTCACTTCCAAAATCCTATTTTAGGTAGGCGGTTTTTGTATCTATTTTGCCATATTTCATATGTGCAATTTTGTTAGATCAATCACGAAAAGACTTAAGCATTCCGATTGGTGAATGGGATTTTAAAATCAACTCCTTGATATTAATTATATCCTTTACAACCAATCTAGCTATGTATGCATATACATTTCCACATTTGTTAGTTTTCTCCTTGAAAACTTATTTGTAATCGATGGGTCTTTCACCTTTCATGCAAATTAATCAAGTTTCAAACATGATTTTCAAATATGGAGTCTATTTCGGATTTTCATGGCTTTTAACCATTATTCGGAATTTGGATTTGTCGTAGCTATCTTACAAGACATTATTCCTTTACTATCTAATAGTAAGTAGTATGCTTGTAAGTCTTAGGTTTGTTTCTAACTTAATAGAAAATTTATAGGATTCAATCCAAGCCTTTGGTGAATTCTATACCTATACGGGGCAATTGCATCAAACACTGAGTTTTAAGGCGCTTTCAAAGCCCTTTTATTATGTTGATCTTACTCCAACATCTTTAATGTTTTGTGAGTAGTGAATTCTCTTTTAAGGCACTTGTAAAGTCCTTTTGAGTATTCTTGATCAAGCATTATCACGAAGTCTTTTAAGGTCTTCCGAGATTCTCAGTTCTAGTTTGTTGCTAAGATCGATGGTCATCAAGTTCATTTTCCTCCCACTTGTCGTTTTGGAAACGTGTTACTTTCCAGAAAGACACTACTTAGAGCAACAAACAATTTTTTTTATTCTCAATTAGGATGTGGAGGTAATACCCGTAGTCTCACTTGAATGCTTACAAAGAGACATGTATATTGTCTTTGGGTAAAAGTTCGTTGTGAAACAAACAGTTAGCTCCTACTTGAGCTATCTTAGTCTTTATTGAGCCATTCAGCTCCCACTGAGTCACCTAGCTCCCACTGAGCCACTTTGCTCCCATTGAGCTAGTGAACTCCCATTGAGACTAAGAGCCTTAGACATATACTTGAAAAGACTTTTAGAAGTTATTTCTATCCATAACTGAATATGGCGTCCTTTCTTAGCTTCGACACATTGTTTAGTGTAACATTAGTCATTTGTGCAAATCTTTAAAAACTTTATAGGAAGGGTTGTGAACCATCATTATTCGAGTCATTTTCAAATGACACCGAGGT